ATCTTCTACCTCATAAAATAAAACACCGTTGTAGGAGTTATTCCAACATCATGCTCTCATATAAATATATAGACATATAGATATATAGATATATCCCTCCTATGCACTTAATGGCACATCAATCTCATCTCCAACTCCAGATCTTTTAACATTTTTATACTATGTGGAAATGGTCAATACATATGAAACTGCCATGCAAAAATGAACCATTGGTTCATTCAACTTGCTGTATCCTGGTCCAACAGTCAATAGCTCCCCAAGTTCACCAGAAAAAAATGTGCCTTTTATAAACTTTGCTGCTTTGGAGCATTGGAGACATCAGAGATTGAACCAACAAACTTCTGCACCAGAAGCCCACGGATTAAAAGCCTACATCCAAAGGGTGGTGTACCATAATTCTCTGCATACAGAGTTATGTGTTAATGTGAAATTCTTCCTTTGTGTTGAATGGCAAGGTTGCACAACTGAATCTCCATCCACTTATGCAATGGCAAAACATACTCAACTCTGCTTCTATAACCTTGAGCTGAGTGTAGATGTTCCATGTTACACAAAAATGTCCTCCTGCTTCTGTAGCATAATGTACACATGTGTATGTCAAAGGGTCCTTCTGATCTTGGAAGCTAAACAGGGTCATCTCTGGTTAGTACTTGGATGGGAGACCACCAATGAATACCAGATGTTGTCGGCAATATTTCAAAGGAAGGAATTGGCAAAACCACCTCTGAGTCTTCCTTGCCTAAGAAAACCCTATGAAATTCATGGGGTCACCATAAGTCGACAGGCAACTTGAAGGTAAATACTGTAGATTCCCTTTATTGATTATATCAACAATGCATTGCAATATCCTCAACATTTTCAACACCTTACCCAAGGTTCTGGTTAAATGCTTTAATATGTAATAAATAAATACAGAGAGAGAGAGAGAGAGAGAGAGAGAGGATCTGCTTTATCACCACATTTGGTCCTCTTGTGGAAGACTGTAGATGACACACATCTTGTACCATCTATCATATGGATAGTGTAAATACTATATTTCTCTCTTTCTTTCTCTCTATCTCTCTTTTGTTGTATGTTTCTATTGTTCCTGTGTATTTCTCTGGTTGTTCTTCACTGTTTGGAATCTTCCGACAGATTCAGAAATACTTGGAAATAAATGGATAACTAAGAGTTTCATCAAATTCTTCCCAAATGATTACATATTGCTGACATTCCTTTACTAAGTATTTGTTGGAGAACAGGAAAACTAATGCCAAAAGACAGAGGAAGGATACAAGCGTGATGAGCCAGGGGAAAAACTGAGAGTGGAGAGTGAAATGAAAAAGAGAAGAGAACTACATATCTGCACAATAATTTGTTGTTGTGTGCCTTGAAGTTCTTTCTGACTCATGGGGTTTTCTGGGGCTGAGAGAGTATGATTTGCCCAAGGTCACCCAGTGGGTTTCCATGGCCAAACAAGGAATCAAAGCCTGGTCTCCAGAGTCACAGTCATAGTCATAGTTCAACATTCAAACATTGTGTAGAAACCAACCACGCTGGCTCTCTGATACTGGGAATTATTTGCTTCTTTTCTCTTGTGTTAGCAGGGCAAGGTCACTTCATCAGTCTTGTTCATTGTTCACCCACAAACCCTTCTGATTTTAGATGAGAGATAGAAACCATTTATACAGCTAACATGGTCAGAGACTAAATATAGATCCCTGTGGAGCACTTGATGGGAAGAGCTGAACATCTGACATTCTCATCTGCTTTTTGACGAACTGTGGGATGAAAAACCATTCCCACCCCAATATCACTAATGCAGATAACATCAAGTGAGATATGGTGTTTATTAAATGTGTCCTGTAAATATTAAGGGGATAGACATTATAGGGTTTTTTTTAATCTGAGTATAATTCATAAGTTTGGAATCTTGGGTTAAGAGAAAGACATGCATTTGCCTAGGGCTGATACAACAGGAGTAAAGATTTGAAGGATTCCACCTTTTGAAACAAATGTCTTCAATCATAAATGATCACCAAAAAAGAAAAGGAAAAAAAATTATAAAATAGGTTTTTGAATGAGAATGATTTCCAACTGGAACAATGGGGAGGGAATTGCTAATTGTCTTCTGCCCATGATTTGATGAAGGATTTTTTTAATTTTTACTTTTTGTTTTTATTTTTTTTGGAAGGGATGTTTAAAAAAATGTCTCTACAGAATCATGCAACTATTCTCCTCCCACCCAAATTCTATAGGCGCTTGCACAAAGAAATTTATCATGATTTCTTTCCTTGCAAAATACTATGTTAGCCTCCAAAAGTGCAATGGTGATGTTCTTCTTGCTGTAATTTGAAGTCTTGCAGGGAATTTCTATGCACACAAATAGATGTGGGTTTTCTCTGCAAAAAAAAAATACATAGAGTTTTTGTATAGAAAATATGTTCCCTGTGCAGGAACTAGCGGTTAAGGTCATTAATTAGGAGCTACCTTCTATTTAACAGTTTAAATAAGGCCTATGTGTTTGTTCTGGAGCTGTAAATATAGTAATAGAAACCCCAGAGAAGTTACTTTGAAACTATTAGTCCACAATTGGGAAGCCACCACTGAAAAGGCATTTCCCCTACTTGTTGTTGTTCTGTGCCTTGAGGTCATTTCTGACTTATGGAGATCCCAAGGTGGACCTATCATGGGGTTTGCTGGAGCTGAGAGGGTATGACTCTCCCAAGGTCACTCATCAGGTTTCCATAGCCAAGCAGGGAAATGAATCCTGATCACTAGGGTCCTAGTCCTACATTCAAACCACTACACCATGCTGGCTCTCATTTTCCTAGTAGCCCCATGGAAATTTTATCCAGACAGGGACTTGGACATGGAATTATGCAGATAACCTTAAAACATAGGCAGATAAATACATGGGAAGATTGGCTGCCTGGAAAAGAGAAGGTCAGTTAGGATAGAGGAGCCATAGCTTAATGATACAATATGTTCTTTGCCTGTAAATGTCCTGGGTAGCTCTCCTGAATCATCATATAGGGCTGGAACAATTCCTGACTCAAACCTTGGAGAGCTATACCCAGTCAGAAATTACAATCCTAGACTAGGTGGACCAATAGTCTGAACCAGTATAAATAGCTTCCTATGTCCATACTGATCAGAATGGAGAATACAGTAAAGAAATTAGAAGAAGACTAGGATTGGGAAGGGCAGCTATGAAAGAACTGGACAAGGTCAAAAAGTGTAAAGACATAACTCTGAACACCAAAGTGAGAATCATCCAAGCCATTGTATTCCCCATCACCATGTACAGATGGGAGAGCTGGACAGTAAAAAGAGGTCAATAGGGAAAAAATAAACTTGTTTGAAATGTTGTGTTGTAGAAAAGTACTGAGGATACCATAGACGGCTAAGAAGACAAACAAATGGGTTCTAGAACAGATCAAGCCTGAACTCTCTCTGGAAGCCAAGATGATTGAATTGAGGCTTTCATACTTTGTCTACATCATGAGGAAAAATCAAAGAAAAGACAATGATGCTAGGAAAGGGCAGTAGAAAGAGAGGAAGACCACATGCCGGCTAGAATCAATCAGGGAGTCCATGGGCCTGGACTTGTAGGACCTGAGTAGAGAGGATGAGAACAGAGGGTCTTGTAAATGTCTCAGCCACAAGTCAACACAAGTCAACATCAACTTGAAGGCTTCTAACAACAACAACAATGTCACCATGACAAAATTCCTTGAAAGCTGAATTACTGCACCTACCCTTGAAAAATGTAGTGGAAAGAGTGGTGAACGTGCCCTAGAATTCCCATCCCTTTTGACCTGTTTATGCCCAGCCCTACCATTAAGCAGATGAGGTATTCTGACTCAGTGGATGAAATGGGGAATAACATTAAAGAGCAGCACAACGTCAATGACTTGATCATTGTTCTGTTTGCCCCATTTTGTTTTTCTATCCAGACATATAAATGGGTTGGACAACTTTTGAGCAGCACTCTATGTGGACTGAATACGTGTGCTACATGAGCATTTCCCAAGATTCTTTGCACCATTTGGGTTCCCTGAGATAAAAATGTGGTAAACAAAAAAGCAGGACCAGTGCAGCAATCATGGACTCCATATCTGCAGCAAGGTACCAAAGTTAACATTCAGAAGGACCGACAGTGCAAGATCTGCTGGTGCCAACTCACAATTTCCTGTGTTGATTGGTGATTTTATAACTAAACCCTTGATTGGCTCCAAGATGGGGAGTTTAGAATAATCTGACTGATAAAGAATTAAAAGTAAATTGTCTCGGAGGGAAAACAGTTTTCTTTTTTGCCACTCTGCTGATTAGGAACTGGACTGTGGATAATTGAGATGGCATGAAAACACCTAGCCATTTGTGCTTCCAATCTTTTCCTTTTTCCCCTCCCACATCTTAATCCATTAATTCCTACAGAGCCTCGCATCTGCGTTTAGAGGGCTGTTGAAGCAGCTTAATTCATTACCAGCAAATTCTGCCCCATTTGCTTTGGCGTATGACTTGATAAATGGAAGGAATGCAAGTTTGCAAAGTGGAGATGACCTTCTAATTCCTCGGGCGCTCTGTTCCTGCTGCTCACATCACCCCGATCCCCATGGTGGGTGATTCTGACAGAGGCTGGCAGAAGGACTAACTTCTGTGTTTGCTTTAGTATCTGCTTTCAGGTTTTCCGGCCTTTTCATCTGAGTATGAAGCCTCATTTTTCAATCTCCTCTCCCAGTGTTGCCGTTTTTTCCTTCTCATCTGTTCCATCAATGTTTCCTCAATAATATTTTTCACAGTTATTGAAGGCTTTCCAGCCAAAGAGTCAATGAACTACTTCACTACCTAGCTAAAAATCCAGTCAAAATAAGAGAAATAGAGTCACTAGTGAACAGCACCAGCGATTAAGATCCGTTGTGTGCCTTCAAGTCATTTCTGACCTATGGTGAATCTATCACAGGGTTTTCTGGGGCTGAGAGTATGTGACTCTCCCAATGTCACCCAGTGGGATTCCATGGCTGAGCAAGGAATTGAAACCTGGTCTCCAGAATCATAGTCCAATGCACAAACCACTGGACCACACTGGCTCTCCAGAAGTTAAGGTCACCATAGCATAACTGGAATGAGGGTAAGCTTTACTAAACCTAAACTGCTAGATATCTAAATTGCGAGCTATCTCAGTACAGGCCTTGAGAAGAGATTCTGAACCTTATCCACTAAATTAAATTGCTAGTACCATCTAGTACAATCCCACTGTATCAAAGGCTAAATGATAAGTCAACTTAGGTAAAATCAACTGATTCAATGGGTTTACTCCAGTCTGGGCTGGAAATTATATTTAGACCTATCTTATACACTTTAAATATCTTAGGTCTAGTACTCATAAAAGAATCAATGTGATACAGTGGTTTGAGAGTTTCACTAGGACTCCAGGAGATCAAGATTCAAATCTCTCCCTACTGTCTTCCATGAGCAAGTCACACTCTCTCAGTACCACGAGGAGGCATTGGCAAACCCCCTCTGAACAAATTTGGTCAAGAAAATCCTAGGAAGTGTCACTATAAGTTGAAGTAAATTTGAAGGCACAAAACAACAACAAGTACTCGTAAACAGCATATATAATACTATTGCCCATATTATAGTAAACATGAGTTGATCCATGCCAATTCATGTTATAAGTGAGGGTTCTCTAATGTACTTCGAAACTATCTAACTAACTAAAGCCCCTGAAGAAAGGACAGGACAACAGAGCTCATCTTTGTCTCACGTAAATCCAGTCAGATTTCTCCTAAAGTAAGGAGAAACTTATATAGCAAAGAATGAGAATACAAGAAACGGAGAAACCCTGATAATAGCATGAAGCCTCTTTTCAACATGGCAGCTGGCTAAGGAGACCACAATGTTGAAGAACACTAACATTCCCTGCCCAAAATCAGGATCACAACCGCTAGCATACCAAACTCCACGAATGCTCAAGTCCCATTATAAACAATGAGGTAGTAAAATGGTCTCCCTTATGACAAAATTAAGGTTTGCTTTTTGGAATTTATTAAAAAATATTTTGAAGCCATGGATAAGTGAATCTGTGGATGCAGAATCCATGGATACAGAAGACCGATTATACACTGGTTGAAATCCTTTTTCTGTCATGCACTTCCACAGGTGTGATCTTCAGCGGGAGGGAGGGAAGGAGAAAAGGAACTTCTGTTGTTGTTCTGTTTCAGTCTCTATAACACACAGTTCCATACCCTGAGGTGAAGTAGTCCATTGTGGTGGATCTGTGGGCATATTTTGTGAACCAGAACCCTCCAGGAACCACACAGAATGCCCAAGTTTTTAAAAATAAAATCAGAAGATAGTTTTTTGTGGGTTTTTCGGGCTGTGTGGCCATGTTCTAG